TGAACATTTATTATCTCATAATTTTTGTGGGTCAGAATTTGAGAGCAGCTTAGCTAGGTAGTTTTGGCTCAGGGTCTCTCATTAGGTTGAAGTCAGGATGTTGTCAGGGGCTACTATTATCTGAAGGCTTGACTGGAGCTGGATGATCTGCTTCTAAGATTGCTCACTCACAAGGCTGTTGGAAGAAAGCCTCAGTTCCTGGCCACATGGATCTCTCCATTGGGTGCTTGTGTGTCTTCATGATACGGCCACTAACTTCCCACAGTGTTATGGTCTGATTTGGGTCCCCAGCCCAAATTCATATGTTGAAGCCCAAACCCCCCATGTGATTGTATATGGACATATGGCCTTTATGGACACAATTAAGGTTAAATGAGGTAATGAAGATAGGGTCCTGATCCAATGGGATTAGTGTCTTTAAAGAATAGACACCAGAGAATTCACTCTCTTTCTCTACCAGTGAGAAGTCAGCTGTCTGTAAGCCAAGAAGAGAGCCCTCGCCAGAACCCAACACTGCTGGATCTTGGTCTGGGACTTCTAGCTTTCAGAACTGTGAAAAAATAAATTCCTGTTGCTTATTTAAACTACCAATGGCTTTTATTATGGCAGCCAGAGCACACAGTCAGAGTGAGAAAAGGGAGAAAAAAAGAGGAAGTCACAGTGCCTTTTATGACCTAGTCTTCAATGTTGTAGATCTTCACTTCCATTTTATTTTACTTATTAGGGGCAAGCCAGTAAGACCAACTCTCACTCAAGGGAAGGGAAATTAAGCTCCACCATTTGAAGGGAGGAGTATTGAAGAATTAGTAGGCATATTTTAAAACCACCTGATAGGGTGTGAAATAAATAGAGGCAACAACAAAAAAATCATGCCAAGATTTCTGGATTCAGTAGATGGAGGAAAAGACAGAACTAGCATTAATAGAAATGTGGGCAACCATAAATGAGTAGGACTATCAGCTTAGTTTTGGACGTGTTCAGTTTGAGTTGCCCAAAACATCCAAATGGAGATGTCAAGTAGGCAGTTGAATATGCGAATCTGGAGTCTGGTGAGTAGTATGTGCTATAGATACAAATTTGGAGTTGTCGGCGTACAGATTACATTTGAAGAGATGAAATTTAGTGTGGAAAGAAGAGGAGAGGAACCAGGTGGAGAGTGGGAGGGAAGGGAAGGAGAGAGGGAAAGGTCAGGCCTGAGCCCTGGGATATTCTTACACCAAGGGAAAGAGATATGAGGCAGAACCAGAAATGGAGTTTTCACAGGGGTAAGAAGAAAACCAGGAGAGTAATATTTTGAAAGCTGATTTTAGAAAGTGTTTCAAGGAGTACAAAGTGATCACTGCCACTGATGATAAATGCCACTGATGATATACGATGAAGACTGCAAATTGACCATTGGATTTAGTAATGTGGAGGTCATTGGTGACCTGGATGAGAACAGCGTTAGCAGGGTGGTAAGAGGAAAGTGTAATTGTATGAAGTTTAAGAGAGAATGGGAAAAGAGGAATTACTGACATGATTAAAGTCTTCTGGTATATGTTTTCTCAAATTCACTCCTGATTGTGATTCCTTTATAGAGTCACCGATCATCTCCCAATTGATAAACCCAGGGGATTTTTGAATGTTTTATACACCTTGATCTTTTGACAGCCCCTGACACCACTGATATTCTTTCTCGAGCCTGTTCAGCAGTTTGTGTACGTGTACAGTGTACGTGTGGGGGGTGTATGTGGTGTGTGCATGTGTGAGCACACATGTGTGTCTAGTCCCTGCTGCTGGCCTGAGCTGTCTCTGTGGCCATGCTACCTGCCAAGCTTGAGATCTACTTATTTTCTTAACCCAATTGTGGCTTGGTGCTAGAGCCTCCTTTGAAGAGTTTTGTTGGAATGGGAAGCAGAGGAATGGGATAGTAGGCGGAGGGAAAAGTAGAGTCAAGGCACAGTTCCTTTCAGAGGGGAGAAATACTGAATGTTCGAATATCGGTATAGCAAAGAATAATGCAGTAGAGAAAATGATAGTGCAAGGGAGAAACAAGGGGCATCGATTGTTATGGTGAATATACTAAGTGAGATAATATGAGCACTCATTTGTTAAGTCCCATTTGTTAGATATTATGTAAAATACTTCAAACACACCATCCCATTTTATTCTACCTGTGGTCGTATAAGGTAAAGCATTATACTTATGTTGTGGGTGCTGATTCTGAGGCTGGTCAGGTTAAGTAATGTGCTCAAAGTCACCCAGATAACAGTGGAGCTGACACTCATGTCTGCCCAACCCATAGCCTCTCCCCAGCGCCTTGGCACACGCTAGAATGCAACGAGCATCTTTTTTGCTTCTTTCATCTTTCCTTCCTAAGTAGCTGTTACAGCATGGTGCATAGAGCAAATGCCTAATAAATGCTTGCTAAGTGAGTTTTTTTTAAGTTAAGATGAAAATTTATTTAGAAAATGAGTATAAATATTGACCTGTTTTTGATTCAGTCCTTGAAAGATACCCTGCCATTAAAGAGTTCCCCCTAAATTGTATCTTTCATAAAATTAAAGTAATTGAGGACATTATCACTTAATTTTGGTCATTTAAAATTAGATTCTTTAATGTACACTTTCATACTCAACAGCTATGCAATTCAATTTTTAGAGTAAAATTTCTAACATTTGTACAGCAAATGATTATTTGTCTAGAATCATTAGGTATCAGAGAATCTGGTTGGTTGAATAATATGAATTAAAATTTTACACCATCTGAAGATTACCAATTTTCAAAGAAAACACACTCAAAAACTATCCCTAGAGCCAACACTCACACTAAGATCTTACTTTGCTGCTTTTCAATGAAGTATTTCATGGTTCCTTCAGTGCCTCAGGGCTGAGGTTATGAAAATGAATTAGCATCATGTGTTTCTATGAAAAAGAAGTCTGGCTATTTAATCTTCTTGGTTTTTGGAATTCTGAATCAATGGAATTCCGAGTCAATGTCAGAAGAAAGTTTTATTAATATTAGGAAACAAAGACAGGAAGCCAAGGCAGCCCGGAGGCATTCGTACATTTGGAGGATACTGCACATCATTCTGAGCAGACTTCAGGTGAACCCAGAAAGTGGGTCCAGACAGCAGCAGGCTTTTGCAGAAGTGGAAGCAGCGAGTTCTTCCTAGACTGGCATTTCTGCCTTGGATGTCTGGAGGGTTGGAAGGCACATTCTCTGTAGTCCCTGTAATCTTACAAAAATAATAACCACTTCTGTGGCATCTCATTTGAGTCCAGCACAGCAATAAAATTTCTGTGTGTGTAGTGGAGTATTTTTACAGCAATGCTGTGGGTAGTTTGCACCGTCCATTCTGACAATCCTGATACATTAGGCAATAAGGGCCATTCTGTTGAAACTTTCCCTTTTCTGTCTCAGCCCAAAGGCAACTATGCTGGGAAAGTCTGAGCCAAATTAGTTAAACTACTTTTGAGTTCTCTATGAACATTGGGAGGGAAGGAAAAACTACACTTTCTCTTTATTAAAAAAAAATGTGTACAGAAATATTCATTTCTTTTCAGCTATGGCATTATAAGGTAATAGCACACTTGACTGCGTTTAATTTTTTCCTAATTTTTCCTTAGCTTTGTGAGTTCACTTTTTAAAAAAATATTTGAAATTTATGCTAAGCTGTTCAATAAAGCTAATTTTTAATGATATTCAAGAGATTTTTCTTCGGTTCCCTAGTCGATGTCAGTGCTCCTCAATGAGGAAGGAAAAATCAATTCAATTATCAAAGCACGGTTAATTGCTTTCAAGATTAGGGTGATTTAAAGAGCAGCAAACTATTTTATCTGTACTCAGCAGTTTTGGCTAAGGATATTCTCCTAAGCACACTCGAAAGAGAAGTTTAAGATTCCTCAGTTCACTTATGACATCCTTCCCAGCTCTCCCCTCACTTGTCATTAACAGAGGTAATGGCAGGGGCTCTTGTACCAAAGAGCCACAGCACGGGGGCTATTTTCAACTAGTCTTATCTGTTTCATCTCTCAAAAGACAGATATTTTTAGGTCTTTGTGCTTGGCGTTCCAACTATTTGAATATTTAGTCAAAGTAGTTTCTTGAACATGCATAGAATAGAGCAAAATCTCATGTATGCTAAGAATTCTCTCACTTCATGTATTCACTGATGACTAGAAGTCTTTTACCAATGTCAATTGAGTTTAGCTCAATTTCTTCAGCTTGTATCATGTTGGAAGAACATTCTAGAAGCTATGAATATGAAGATGAGTAAGATGGCTCCTGCTCTTGGGGAACATAGTGTCAAGAAGGAAGGAGAGACAAGCACAGACATCATTTCATTTTCAGGGGTAAAAAGCAGTTAGGTCCCAGGGAGGGCTCCACCAGGAAGATTCCCCATGGTGCTGTGCTGCTCTGAGAACTAGAGGGTTGCGGGACAACAGCCAGGGGAAGGGAGACCCTCTCCCAGGTGGAGGTGGCCATGTGAGCAAAGCCAAAGAGACATGAATCAGCTCAGTGTGCACCTGAAACTCTCTGTTTGGTATTCCCAGGGCATGAACTACAAGTCAGGAGGGTGGGAAGTGAGGTGAGGAGGCTCTTGTGCTAAACATCAAGCGACATCCTCCTCCAGGCCATGGGGAACCTCAGGGAGGTTTTAAATAGGGATGTGAAATGTATGTAGAACATGTTTTAAATTTTAACATCTTTTGATGATTAGAAACACAATATATGGATCACAGAAAATGTGGACATTACATAAAATTATGAAAAAAATAATTAGACATAATCTCACCACCCAGAGACAACCAACACTAACATTGTGCTGTTTCTCCTAACAATTTTTCGTATGCCTGTGTATATGTATATGATAATGCATATGTACTTATATATAATGCATATAATGAATGTATGTATGGTGCTGTTTTTCCTAACAATCTCTTGTTATATATACACATATATATTTTATAAATAGGTATATCTAAATTAATGATATGAAAAATGTCTTTTCTTAACAGATGATCCACGGAAGGAAGAGAGTAGTCTAACTGAGAGATGCTTTGGCAAATCCACTGAAGGGTGGGAGAGAGCCTTGTTAGAGGAAGGCTCACTCTCCACTGCCCATTGTGGAAGAAAGAAGAGGATAAATTACTACAGAGAAGGACCAGGAGGGAGCAGCTGAGCTCTAGGTGGGGAAAAGGGTCAGAACAAGGAAAACAACTATTGCAATGCTTGGTGTTTAACCGGGATTTATTAGGTTGTTTGCTGTGTAATGTAATCTACTCCTCTCTCTCCTTGAAATTTCTTAAGTAGATTCTACATTGTTCATTCATGTTTATATGCCAGTAAACTTTGGGGACATATAAAAAAATAAACAAAAAAGGTGAAATAATATTAGACATTCAAATAAAAGAAGAAATAAACATTAATTTCTTATATGTGGAAGGAATATACTATAATTAGGGAGTATATATATCTCTTATATCTCTTGTTTCTGGACATAAATCTTATTTTTTCTAAAATCCATATTTGGACCTATTTATTTCTAATTGTCAAAAATCTGAAATGAGAAATGTAAACACCTTTTATTTCCCTTTGTCTCAACACTTCATGTACTTCTAGTTTTTGTTGATATAATCTAGAATTTTAGACCTAGATAATTTTTAAAATTGATCTCACATATCTTTTATGTCAATAATTATTTTATATTTGGATTACATTCTATTACTGCATTAAGATAAACTTAACTCTTTGTTTTTCTAGTTGCATTATTTAGTTTGCATGTATAAAATAAGAAACATATATGTGTGTAAGTGTGTGCATGTGTATGATTTCTTGTTCTAGAATTCTTCATTTTGATTGCATCTCTATTGGATAGATGATGGTAAATGTCTTTGGGTTAGCTTTTTCCAAAATGAACCATGATAACTAGTCTTTAATTAGCACTGAACATGTGCTAGTCACTGTTCTTTATCCTCATTAATTCATTTAATCTAGACAATAACCCTATGAGTAGGTTACTGCTATAATCTACTTTGTACAGGCAAGAAAGCTATGACAAAGAAAAGTAAGTCACTCACCTGAAATCCCACAGCTGTCAAGTGGCAGAGCTGGGATTTGAACCCTGTCATTGCAATGTCAAATCCTACATGCTTAACCATTTCATTGTACTGTGTGGTATAACTTAGGAACCCTGGCATACCCAAGAAGACTTTTATTGTCACCACCACTTTTAAATAATAAAAGTAGGTACAATAGATTAAGATGTAGAACTGAAAAGTTCTCACTGAATTTGTCAACTAGGAAGTCATTGAATGCTAGAGCTATTTTTGGAGGAGTCACAGAGGCAGAACCAGGTTAGAGTTGGTTGAAGATGAGAGACTAACTAGAGTGTGTTCTAAGTTCAAGGAAGAGAGTATGTTTAGATATATAAACATCTACCTGTCTGCCTATCTGCACACATGTATTATGTACATTAGGGTGTGAGCACGTGGCATATAGATAGTACCTTTCCTGTAGACAGACTGAGATGGAAAGTTATAGATATATGATGGGAGAGAGGCTTGCATGTTTACAAGCATCATAAAAAAGGGAGAGATAAATGTAAATAACTGATTATCTAAGCCCCAGGGCAGTTAGAACGTAGTAGAAACAAGAATGTCAGGAGACAACTGGCCTTGAATAGAAAGGACCACTCTTCTCCTGAGCCAGGGAAAAAGTGGTTCAGGTGGACCCAGGTGGTGTCTACAGCTGGGGCCAGAGGTTGCAATGCCACCCCACAGCATGGTGTGCCAAGTTTGTTTCAAGTGAGAGGCACAGGGGTTGGGTGAGGGCTTGTGGGGAATGGGGGACGCTTGGAAGACATTTTGAGGAGAATGGAAGGTGCTAGAGCAGAGAGTAAGGAAAGATGGCCAGCAAGCTGTGCTGCAGGCTTAGTGTAGACTGGATACTAGGCATTTGAATGGAATGTTTTTCAGTGGTTTTTCAGTGGTTTTCTGCAGTTCTGCTACCATCCTAATATTTATATAATATTATTATGAATGAGGCTTGGAACTAAGTACTCTTTAGGCAGTACTACATTTAACAACTCCATAAGGCAGGAGTCATTACTTCCATTTTTAAGATTCAGGCATAGGAATTTAAAAACACTCCATATATCCACAGCTATAAAGAATAGGAGTAAGAAAGCAAACCATGGAACTTGATATTCCCCCTGCCCCGTACCTGAAGCAGGCTAAAATCAAAACATCTTGAATTCAGAATAAATGAAAGTTGACTGGATCTATCAGTAGAAAAGGTGTGAGGAAACACCACCTGAAAACAAGGCAACGTGGTGTGTTAAGTAATGGAGACCACCATGAATCTTATCTAACAAGAACTTCAGACTGAGCTCACAGCCAAATGATTGAGTTGCACATGATGACAGGGTTTTACAGAATTGTTTATACAAACACCATGTAGGCAAGCTTTCCAAGACTCTGCCCAACCTGGCCTTAACATACCTTTCCAGCCTAATTGAATGCTCATGACCGTGCTCTAGCCAAAAGGCCAGCGAACACCAGTGACTAAGAGTCCAATCTGAAAGGACGAGTCAAAGTGATATTTAGAGCTGACCTGTGGTGGTCACTTGTTTAGGCCATTTGGCCCTCTGGACTAGATAATTGGGAGATTGTTTAAACCTGTTAGTTATTATCTTCTCTGTGCCCCTGTAGTCTTCCACACCACATTTCTATTTCAGAACCCATCGCGTTTCTCTTAAAATTGTCGGTTTGTGCACAGTTCTCAGCTCATTGAGAACAGACAAAATATGATTATTTCCATAGGACCTATTAGAATATCTGGTACATAGTAAGTGATTTGTATATATTTTAAAAGCAAATAAATGAAAAAGGGAATGAATGAGCAAGCCAATTTCATGTTTTATTTGAATGAAGTGTGGTTGTTCAGGTGACAGTCACCATAAATTCATGACTGCTCTAAGTTAACAGAATGTTTTAACATGTAGTATAGTGTATAAAGTTGCTTCAAATTTAATGTTGATAAAGGTTACCAAGCAAAGAAGGCTCTGATAGGCTTGCAATAAAGAGAAGTTAGTTATTTATTCCAATGCTTGAGGTCCTCCAAGATTTGACCCCAAACTACTTTTATTATATTTCTCTATAATTTCCTTAAAATATCCATCATTTATAACAACAACTAGTCACTAGTCCTGTTTAAACCCCTACTTGTCTGTGTTTTTCCCACAACCTGGATTGAACTTCCTGTCTGTATTTGCAATTTAAAATCTTCCCAAGCTCCAAGCTTGGCTCCCACCTCCTTCTTGAAGCCTTCCAATATTGTTGTGGCTAGAAGAAATCTCTCCTTTTTCTGTGCTCTCCAAATCCTTAATTTGTTCCATTCATTGCACTTAGAAATCTCATTGTGATGTGTCTGGAGCATGGGTTAATATTTGAATATTGGCTCAATCACTAATTTTGTGACTTTAGAAAGGTTACTAGCCTCTCTGAACCACATGATCTTCATCTGTGAAATGGAAAATAATAATATCTGCTTCAATTGTTGCTATGAACACTACAATATCGACCATAAGTAAAATGCTCTTCCTCATCCTTCTTATAATTGTTTGTGTTTGGGTAAGATAGTCTACTAGATGCAAGTTTCATGAAGGCAGACATTACTCTTTGATGAATCTTTACAAGACTCCAAACACATAATACTCAATAAAAATTAAAATGAATATGTAATCTGTGTCTTTTTTATACAAATAGAGACTGTGGAAATAATTAGAAACTAAGAGTTGTTTCCTTAGTTATGGTAGCTGTTTTCTCTTATAATCTTGTTCTTAGTTCATTTTTTATTAAAGCTCCTCTAAATAAAATAAAGCTAGATTGTGTTTAGTCAATCACCAACACTGGATTAGTAGTGATTTTAGTTGTGAGATTTTTATTGTGTATGTCATACGATGCCAATACAGATATGAAATATATGTACATTCATGTTGGTATACATTTTACATTATACATGTAAAGCACTTAGAACAGTGCCTGGTACACAATAACTGCTTAATCAATGTCAACTATTATTATAATTATTAGTGCAGAAAACGATGATTAGAAATATTTTGTTGTTGCTTCAACCAGGTTCTTTTGTTGTAAGCAACAAAAAGGAACTCTGTTTAGCTTAAACAAGGAAAAAAGATATGTTGAAATGGTTCCTTATATAATAGTTTACAGAATTAAAGGAAGAACTGAAAACTCAGGACAGGCATCTCAGTGGCAGATAGTATAGAACATCTCCGGAGGCCATTGCCATTGGATGTCTACCTCCAACCACTATTCAGGAACAATCTTTGGTCAATAATATTTTTCCCCAATAAAGAGAATGTTTGGCTTCGAATGGGTTTTGTGCCCACCCAGGGGAGCAGGGCCTCATGATTGGCAGCCCCTCTGAGTCAAATGCTAGGAAAAGCGATGGGTAGTCGAAAGGCACATATGTGACCTACACAATTTAGACAGCAAACAACTCACCATTATGCGGTGCTCTGCTTTGTGAACTTTTCTAGATCCCAGCTGTGTTTTTAATTACCACTTCCTGATTTATGAGAATAAAAATGTGGGGAATCATAGACCACAAATATGGACTTTGTTCTGACTAATAAAGAATTTTGTTAAATATTATTTAACTAAGGAAATAGATATCCTACAGCTCAAAGTCATAGGTTGTTAAGCAGAGATGGTCATGTGCAATTAGCCTCATAAATATATTATTGTTTTTCTCTGAACTTGACAATTAGATTTTTATTGATTACTACTTGTGGCACAAAGGTTCCAGACAAAGTCTGTTCAGCGATAGGCAAATATATGGAATACATACTGTAAGGCTCTTTCATTCATTCATTCATTCAACAAATGCTTATTACAAGCCATGGGCTGTCGATAGGGAGACAAACATGAAAAAGCTCACAGACCAACGATGAAGAGAAAACACACTCATCATCACACTGGTAAGTATATGGCTACAGATGAGGGTAAAGTCTCCTACACAAAATATACATGGAAATGCTACCTAATATTGAGTAATCAAAAGAAGGCTTTTCTGAATAAGTGAGGGGTGAGGATAGGTAATGCTGAGCATGAAGATACAGATTCAAGATACATTTTAGGAGATACACTCTATAGGATTTCATCCAACTTGATTGAAAAAAAAGAGGTGGCTCCCAGGTTCCTGCCATGAGAAACCAGGTCAGTGGTGCCATTGACTGAGATGCAGTCACTGGAGCAGAAGGAAATTCAGTAGGAATGGTGAGGCGTTAAAGTTGTTAAACTTGAGATGCCATATGATATTCAAG